ATCCTATACTTATGATTACCATATTAATACCACCTAACACAAAACTCACTGGATTTGCGCAACGCTTTATCTTGTTTACAATTGCACTACGTACAATCAAATTTATTTAAATGTATGCTATATATGTCTAAACGTACACCTCTACTTGTCTCAAATAGCATACGTAACAATTGTAAGCTTTGACCTCTCTAAATGCACATTTTTTAAATTTTTTATATAATCACAAGGGGGTGCATTTAGGGAGTCGGACTGTATTAAAAAAAAAATCAAGGATCACAACTTTGCCAACGCAATAAATTAATGTTCAACAGAAAATATAAAAATTCACTTTTTTTGTTTGTATCACTTACGAAAATAAGTATCGGTATGGGGCATCCGTTAAACAAGTACTATATTTTATAGAAATAGAGACCTTAAAGATAATACTATAGTATTATCTTTAAGATCCCTATAACAATACTGGCTTAACGTAAATTATGGATGCCCCCTAGATGCTCAGATAAGTAGAACTATTTTTTTCGTCACAACATAAATACTATCGCCATATGTAGTAATCAGTGCTTAATACATTTCTCCAGATATCATCATGAAATCGTTATATTATATCCTTTTTTTTGTTATATTTAGCTCGGTAATTTTTTTTGTTATTTGCCAAAATGTACCCAGTCCTCGATGTGAACAAGCTAGCACATTAGTTGGTACTAAACTTTATTTCTTTGGTGGAGGCACTTCTTCTACAAGTGTTTCTAATGAAGTTTGGTATCTTGATTTATCGAGTTCATTTAATACTTTCACACCCCCATGGCATAGTGATGTTGCAATGCCAGTAGGATATAACTTTGGAAGCTCTTGCCTTAGTCCTATTGATAATTCTACAGTTTTTTTAGTCGGAGGAAGAACATGGATAATTACTTCAGCTACTACTGATTATTATTCATATACATCATCAGTATATAAATTTGGTTCTAAGACTTCACAGTGGACAACACCAACTATTAATAATTTTAATTCTAGCTTTGCAACTCGTAGTGAAATACAAGTTGTTATTGACAATAATGGAAAAATTTATATTTTTGGTGGATCAAATTATGATAATTCAACAACTATTTGGTATAGTGATATGAATATACTTGATATCACTACTATGACTTGGTCAACACCAACTCAGTCTCAGACTGCCTTTACTTATATCGACTATACTGCTACATTATTACCAAATGGTCTTATTGTTTATATTGGTGGGCGTAGTGGGTCAAGTTTAAGCGTAAATCTTAATGATATGGCTCAGGTATGAAATAATAGTCTAATATTATGCATTTTATAATTGTCGTGTCTGATGCTAAATTGGTCGATGCTGAAATTTGGGCCTATTTGACATGAAATTTTTTGGTGTTTTTTTTTTCGCTTTTTTTATAGGGTTAGGTTATGGTTTAGGATTAGAATTGATAATTAAAGAGTAGATGCGGATTTTAACAGGGCTTTTATTTTCAAATTGTGACCCGAATTTCAGCATCAGCCGCGAAAATAATTTTCAATTATTTATTTTAAGTTTACTTTTGATTAATATTAAAATACAGATTCAAGTATTTGACACAGAATCCTACACCTGGTCTACTAAAGTAATGCATACAATTAATATTATTTCTAATAATAATAATTATGTCTAATTTTTGCAAATATATGTTTTAATTTAGCTTGCCAGTGGTTCTACAATCGCATCTCGAGCATTTCATTCTGCTGTTTTAAGTACGTATGTTACATATAATAACATTGCATTAACAGTTAAATTTTGATTTTTGATTTCTGACTTTACTACGTAATTATTGTATTTTTAGCTCAGGATGGAAATATTATCATATATGGAGGTTCAACAATGAATTTTGGCAATGTTGCTAATGTGTTTTCTGATATTGCAGTATTAAATACAAATTCATGGGTATGGTTTGTTCCAAGAGTTTCTGGACCAAGTGCACCACCACTCACACAGCATTCTGCTGCATTATACAAAAATTATATGATACTTGCATTCGGTAATTAATTTTTATATATTTATTTATCTAAAGAAATTTTTATTAAAATTGTTTAAATTTTCACATATGTAGGCGCAACCTCAGCATCAAATTTATACACAAACAATATTTATATTCTTGACATACAAACTTACACCTGGGTTACCTCAACTAGTCAAGAGAATAATAATTCCTCAAATTTATACATTGGAATTGCTATTGGTATAGGTATAGTTATTTTAGCAATAGGTTTATTTATTACTGGATTTTTTATTTATAAAAATCGACATAAAGAAGAATTTATTGCGACACCGGGCACATTCAGGGATGATCTTATACATGAAAAACATATGTCTATGGTTTATACACCTGGAATACCTCCACCCGAATCACATGCGCGAACTTCTATGTATGGAGTTCCTGTGCTTGGAAATAATTATCATAGTTCATAGATGCTTTATTTTAAAAGACAATTGTGGGAAACCCGATTTATAGTCCTGATTGGTTGGAGCTAAGAAGTGCAAAGTGAACCCTTTTAACTTAATTCTAATAAATTTAAAGAGTTTGTACGGATTTGGTTTTCATTTTTTTAATAGATTACAAGATTAAAATAAAAATGCATAGTAGAAAGCGAGGATTATTTTTAAAGTCCTAAAATTTTAAAGACAATTTCAAACTTTAAAGAATGACAGGATGATACACAATAGTGTTTTCCTTAATAACATTAAACTTCTATTGTATGCTACAGTAATCAGAGAAAATAATTTTAACAATTAAAAAACATAACATCGTTGTTGCTCAACTTTCCGAACTCACTTTATCGAAGTATTTCTCCGAGTCCATAATATTGATGACCCTATTTTCTGACAAGACATGATACAAATTAATATGAATATCTAGACGAATTTGCAAACCTCCGCATCGAGTCGATATTAAACTCGATTTCTAACAAGTAAAAATGCGATTTCACCATACATGTATCGGTGGATTTGTCAATAAGATGCTTTTTTTTTTTAACCATCAAATGTAGACTCGCCCTCATATTAATATGATGTAATAATAGTTTTGTTTCTCATATAGATGACTAATAATTTCGATAAAAATAATAATAATTATTATAGGTTTATCTATAAGCAAATGATTGTATGTGGCAACAGAAAAATATATATACAATACTGCAATACATTAAAATTAACGCTTTTGATAGTTGCAATTTTGTTGTGTTGATTTTATGTCGTAGAAGTATTGCGGCAAAATTTCTACTTGAATTTTAGCATGTGGCATTGCCTAAAACTAAAATTTGCGCCACAATTAATAGTCAATACCTAAAGTCAAAATTAATGTCATAAGTGCCGATAGTAATAAAGTATAATTGATATATGATTAATTGATGTAGTATAGACAATAATTAAAAAGGTATTTTTTATTTTTTATTATCCTCATTTTATTACAAATTTACAAGTTATGTCTTCTAAAAATATAACTAATGACCACCAAAAAGGTGTGGAATTATATCCAAAAAGAAAGCGCAAATGTAGTAAATATTGACACGTGAGAAGCCGAAAGATTTAGATCATTTAGTTATGGTAATATGGAATTTGATTTTGATACTTTGATAAATATATAAATTGCATCTTTTATTTTAAGTTCATACATGCATATTATAGTACAATTAATGTTACATATAAATTACATAATACAGCAACTATCGTTATTAAAATTCTTAAGACAATATTGCGGCAATTAATTTAGGGTTTGACATATATTTTAGATTTCGACATTTTTCTGATTGCAGCTTTATTTCTATCGAAGTTTCGGCACAGCCGCTGTTATGTGTCGTTTCGCAATTCATGTTGCTTTCAAAATGACATATGTTAATTTAAAATTGCAACTTGACGTATGTCAAATAATAATCGGTATCGGTATAACAATATATACGTTTGAAAAATATTTAAAATAAAAAAAGTACAATAAAAAATAATTGAAAAAAATTAATTACGCATTAATATGTTTCATGATCCTTTTTCAATTAATACAGCTTTTTCAAATAGTCAAAAACATATATGTATTATGCATAAAACAATACTACAATTAATGATTATTGCATTCGCCTCTCAATACACAACCACAGCGCCTAGTACAAAGAGCATTGTTTTTGCAGCATGAGCAGCTTTTAGTTTTGCAGTTTGTTTTACTGCAATGACAATTGTCATTTTTTTTAGACTTCTTTGAGTATCTTGTATAGTTCGTATAGGGCATGTTAAATTTTGCTATGCAGATGCATTTCTTAGAGAAATAAAATTGCCTAGTGGAATAACATCAAGTGCCGGGTATTCATTTGTGCCTAGTGGTTCTAATTCATTCACTGAATACCATATATCTAAAATTCCAAATTCACATCCAACTTGATAAAGATCAGAATTAGGTTTTTTTTGAATAACTTTGCAGGGCACTGAATGTCTATCCATTTTTAACTTGTCAATATCTGGGACCCAAATTTTTACAAAATCACCTAGATTTAAAATTATATTTAATTTTATAATATTTTATATAGTAAAATATTATTATTATAAATAATTAATATATATATAATTACCCGAGTTTAAAGTTAAGGTATGTTTAGTTTTATACTGCTTTTCCATTACGCTACGAATTATTTGCTAATTTTTTTTAACTTGTTGTACTGCTAAATCACGTAATTGCTTGTAGCTACTAATATTTTCACGAGATTGACTATCAACTGACATAAGACTTTCATGGTCTGTATCTTCAATTAATGTATAAGAACTACTTGCTTGATTAGAACTTTCTTGAGATAAGTTTTCAATAAAAGTATCAGCTTGAAATAAATCTCCATATAATTTATCATCTTTTTGAAACATTTTATCTAAAAATATATCATTATCATAATTCCTATTTTCTAAATCTATTGAATTATATCAATATAATAAATACTATATAATAACAATAATAAATAGAAAAATTAGTTAAATTATTTCTTAATGTATATCAATATATAATAAATAAATAAAAGCATATTTACCTCATTATTACACCATTTTTCTTTTTTATTTCAAGAATTTTGTGATACAATAACTTCTTCATCAATTATACTATTATTACGTGATATAGCCATTCTATTTTCATTACTATTAGATTCAAGATCAGTATCGCTATCCTCAATTGTAATTATTTCATCTATTAAATATATAAAAACAAATAAATTATTAATTCGTGATTCACCAATCAGTAATACAAAATAATTAGTATAATGTGGGGTAAGTATACTATAGATTTCTGGTTAAATTTTTGAAAGTCATAAAAGTCAAGCAATTAGAAAGTATAAACTATTATATTATTTTTTAAGATCTCCTTTTAATATATGAAGCATCATCATCTTATGCTTTGTTTTAAGTAATTTTTGGTTAACTTGTCTTTTTATTTAAAAGGCCTAAGTAGTGGGCGAAGCCAGATTGGTATCTTATTTTTGTGCTAATTCTAATGATTCCAATTCATAGTTCATTAATTAAGGATATCTGTAGTATTAATAAAAACTGTATAAAGTTTAAAAGGGTGTATGTATTTTATGAGATCAAATACTGCTTAGCAAGATCTTATTTTAAATTGGCTAATCTAACTGATTATATATTACTATATTCATAACAGGTGAATATTCTATCATTTATTTTAATAGCATAAAAACATATCTTTTTCTGAATAATCAGATTCGATACAAATTTCAATTAGACATATTTTCAGTTGTTCTTTATATTATTACTTACTTGTGGCTTGTGCAGAAATATTTAATGCATGTTTAGCTACCTCTTTTTTTGATTCTTGTGAATAATGATTATTTCAATTTTCTATTGTGCTTTGTGTAGAAACATCCTCTTTATTGATCTCTCCACATTTTACAAGCTCTAATAGACCATTATACATATTACTAGCAGTATATTGATCATTTGAGTTTGCTTGACCCAACATAAAGAACCTTTTTAAAACTTCCATCACGTCTTTTGATAATCTTTTTCCTCCTTTTTTTCTATATTTTTGATTGTGCTTTAATGCCCAACCAGTAGGTAATGGGAATAAGATAATATTTGGTGTTCTAATCATTAAATAAAACAATATAATAATAGATTAGCAAAATACTGTATAATATATTTGAAAAAAAAATCTAGATCGCTTACTTGTCAATATCTATCAAATCGATATTTTCAATCATTATATTATCCATACCGGTATTATTATTTTTCAGGATGTTCAAAGTTTTTGAGTATAAGTTTGTTTTTAAAACGTTTATTAATTTATCTCTATGTGTATTTTTATCAACAAAAATATCATATATAGGGTGTTATAATAACATGGTGTTATAAATATAATATTTCTTTATTTTATTATTATAATTTCTAATCTTTAATTCTTGATATACAAATAAAGTAATATTTGTACATCCTGTTGCATGTAATATCGCATGCCATGCTCTTAATTCTCGACCTGATACTTCATAATTTTTTGGATAAATTTCACTTAAACTTTGATGTAGTTCAATAATATTATCATTTTGTTGCCATTTTTGAAAAAAATAAACCAGTTAATTTGACTTGAAATATGTCTATGCAAATAATAATTATATAATTTTTCTAATTTTATATAATTATACTATTTATTTGGATAGCATACTAATTCTTGTACTTTTTTTAAACTTTGTTGAATATTTATATTATTTAATTCAAATAGAATAATACTATTAATTGCCTTTAATAAGCCCATTTGAAACTATACATTATTAGGGCCTTTTCCATAATAGCTAATATCAAGTTGATATATTTTATAAATTTTAATAAATGCATAATATTCATTAAAGCCATAATAAAATAAAGATCTTTTTTTTTTATAATTATATAGTATAGAAAGTGAATACTCTTCACCTGCATAACACCAATCTTTATTTGAAGATATACTTATTGAATGAACTATAATACTAAGTTTGTTAACAAAAATATTAAATGGTTGAAAAAAAATATCAGATATTAATTCACTAAAAATTTCTGAATTATTAAAACCCATTATTTGTGGCCCTAAATATTTGGTATAATTGTCTTTAGAAAAGAGTTTGTTATAAAGTGATTTTATAGCCTAAGTAGAATTATCTGATAAATCTTTAGAAATCCTATTTGCTTCACAACAAAACCCTGGTAATTGCAAATTAAAAGTATTTTCATAAACTATTTGTATTATTACTTGAACTCTTTTTATTTTAGTTTTGTATTTGTAGCCAACTCAAAATAAATAAAAAGTCTGTTTAGTAGTTTTATTTTTTTTAATAGATTTAATATACCACCAGCCACATAAAAAAAATTCATAATGGGAGCTTCAGCATAGAAATGCCAAGAAACTGAGATAATCAAAACCTATTTGGGAAGACCCGAGTAAGGAATAACTACAATCTTCAACAGTGCTACAGGAAAGACTCGAATTTGAAAGTTAGGACTGAGTTTGGAGAACCAAATGACAACAAGATCCTTTAGTAGAGAGATTTACCAACCTGACTGCCAATTTAGAAAAGCTAAAAAACTGCGAGGCTATTATGGAGTACACCAACCCTGGCCGGCTAGCATAGGAAACCAGTGTTGGGGCCCTACCCATCAAGTCTAGAGGCTATGGAAGTCAGGCGGGAAACCAGTTAGACAGAAAAATGCTGGGCATGTCCAGAGGACTAGCCAACCAAATTAGAGAAAAAGGACATGTGCTGTGAAATCATGTACCAAGACAAAACGAGGGCACCAGGCATCTAATGCCAAGCCAAGGTTAAATCTTCTGGGTTATCGGTTGGAAGTAAGAGATGGACTAATAAGGAAATAATAGAAAAAGGAAAGGTCTGAATGTGGGTATTGGGATTGAAAAGCGAACCTTATAAGGGCAAAAGCAGTTAGATGGGTAATAGCCTAACTGCAAGTGAGAGCCTTGACAACTGCGCAAAACCAGGTTGGCTCAAAATAAGATAGGGAAAGCTCTGGTAGGTTTACCTCATGGATAGTTGTGCATCTGCTCAACAGAGGAATGCAAGCTAGTAATTAGTCAGTGCAAACCTAGGATAAGTTACAAAAGTTCTAAAGCAGAGTGCAAAATCTAGAAGAACGGGCCAGATGGTAGTTCCCAGGTTAGTATGATAGGTTATAAATATAGTTAGGATCAGAAGGTTTAAAAGGGTAACTCCCTAGTTGAATTATAGGTATGACATCTAGTGTAGTACCTGCAGGTGGACTACTTAAATAGGCACCTAAAAGGTACACATGTAGCTAGTTGTATCTTTATTGTAACTGTAATAACTAATAATTACTAATAAAAAGTCTCCAGGTCAAGAAGTCATCTTAATACTGAAAAAAAATAAAATAAAATAAAAAAGATTCATAATATAAATTTGGTATAATACTTCCTACTGCTAGTAAATAAATAGTAGATTCCCAATATATAGTTATTTAAATTGTATAAATTATGTAGGCAACTTGAGATTGAAAGCATATATAATAAAATGTTATATCATTTATCCCCAAATTTATTATATGATTTACTATTAATAATTGATGGATCATGAATTAAAAATTAAATAAAAAAATTTATTATATATATGATATTATTATTATTATGTACTATAATAGTAATTATTAATTGTTAAATTTAATTGATCTTTATTGTATGATATTAATTGATTTTCTAATAGAATATCTTCTTCACAAATAATATTTTGTTGATAAAGCATTGAAATCATCTGTAAATCTGCTTGAGGTTGTTGTCTAAATACAAGTTCATATAGTGTTAATTTTGTTGTATTACATACTTGGTTATTCATTGCCTCTATAGCAAAAATTTCTTAAATTAAAAATTTATAGTAATAATATAAATTAAAGTTTATTAATATATAATTACAAAGTATAAATAGTAATCTGACACTCCAATCTTTTCATTTGGTTTCTTCTATCCATGATCCAAGTTTTGTTTGAAGAATATTATTATCCTTCTCAACAGAACTCTGGCATTGAGAGTATCGAGGCCTTCTATAAACAATTTTAACTAATAGCCAAAGCTCTATAGTTTTAGTTACTATATTACCCACAAACTCACCACCATTATCTGAATGCAGAATTAATGGTGGCCCAAATGTTAAACAGAATTTTAAAAGAAAACTAGCTGCTTCTTCTGCAGATTTTGATGTTGCAGGTTCTGCAACTGAATATCTAGTAAAATGTCTCTAATATGTATAATATATTTAAACTCATTATCTGGTATTGCTATTATATTTATTGTATCAATCTTAATATAAATTTTTTAATAAATTAATTATGTATCAATATACAAATATACTAAAAAAAGCAATTATATATAATATAAATCTTACTTGAATATGAGCAAGAAATTTTTCTGCAACAATAGGCTTCATAGCAAGTATTCATTTTGTTGTACATCATGTAACACACACATTGCATTGCTTAACAGCATTTTTTACAATTGTTTGTGGTATAAAGTAGTACTTTTGCCAAATCTATTTATATGTACATATAATATGTAAGTATATATTACTTAATCTACAAAAAAAAATTTGATTAAATATCTAAAATTTACCTTTAGCCATGTTTTTTCCTGCCCACCATGTTCCATATCTTGATAAGCCTGACAAATTACAACATAGAAGTTTTCTATAAAGCAAACTTGTATACTGAGTTTATGAGTTTCTAATTTAAGATTAAGTTCTTTGATAGCTCCAACTTTAATTAGTTTAAATATATAGAGAACCTAATATTTAAAGTTTGATTCTAATGAGTACTTGCAGAATTTCATAAAAGTACTACACAATGGTTATATTTTAAACAATCTATTATATGTTTTTTATTCTTTTGATTATTCATATAATTGTTAACAATTTCCTGTCTGCTAGACTAGTTACATATTTCTCCAAGACTTAACAAAATCCTAAAAGGAAAAATACCCCTCTGGTTTACTTATCTTGAAAGTCAAACTATCTATTCTCCTGAATGCTTCCTTGCACCAAACTATCAACTTCCTTCTTTTAACTATTATAGCTACAACACTGGTCACTTTTACAAACACTCCAAGCCATGGCTTATTACTCTTATCAATAAC